GGAAAAACGGGCTAATTTGCAATTAACCTTGCTGGGAAGAATAGCACTAGCTAAAACGAATATATTACCAAAGCTTTTGTTTTTATGCCAAATGATTCCCATAAAAATTGATAGCAATTTTTTTGATGATTTAAATTTTCAAATTTCAAGATTTATATGGAGAAAGAAGAAACCAAGGATTAAACTAAAAATACTTCAGAAGGCTAAAGAGAATGGGGGCTTGGGTCTCCTTGATTGGATGCTGTACTATCAAGCTTCAGTTTTACCGTGGCTAAAAGAATGGATAACTTTAAGAAATAAGATAATCTTGTATCTTGAAGGGCATTATTTGCAAATGGGCTGGCATGCTTATATGTGGTATGAAAAGGCTAAGCTACATGGCTCTTTTCTAAGTCACTATATTAGAAAATCATTAATGTCGGTGTGGGAAAAGTTAAAGACAAAATTGTATAATAAATTACCAAGATGGCTTTCACCTATGAAAGCTTTTGTATTTCCAAATGCATTGAATTTTGAAGGGATCATAAGATATGATGACCTTATGGATAAGGATGGAGGATTGAAATTGAATCAAGAAACACAAGAACAGGGATCTAATATCTCTTGGTGGCATAAGGTACAGATATAATCGAGATATGCTAAAGACTATAAAACATGGGGCTTTTATAAAGACTTAACAGCATTTGATCAAGTGATGCTTAAATCAGATGAGAAAATGATTAAAAGACTATATTAAGGGGAGAGAAGTAGTGGGACCACTAAATAAGGATGAAGGAGATCCAGTGACTGATACAAGGGAACAGGCACAGATGTTAAATGACTATTTTTGCCTCTGTGTTCTCCCCAAAGCAGGACCGGGGAGATCCGTATAGGAGATTAGATGAGGCTGGGGACTTAGGGGCACAGATTAGAGTCATCCCCCTTGAAGTTGAGGGGCTCCTCAGGGCATTGGACATTACAAAGGCGCCAAGCCCTGATGGGTTACACCCGAGAGTACTTTGAGAGTTGCCAGGGGTTCCCTCACGCCTGCTGGCCTCCATTTTTGAGGCCTCGTGGAGAACGGGTGAAGTTCAAGAGGACTGGAGGATGACGTCAGTGGTCCCAATTTTCAAAAAGGGTAGTAGAAGGGACATGGGGAATTACAGACCTGTTAGCCTTATGTCCATTGTAGGAAAAACAATGGAAAGGGTCATAAGAGAGAGAGAGATCTAGTGATGCTAGATAGGGAAGGGAGGCTGGCAGCCACACAACATGGCTTCCGCTAAAACAGGTCCTGCCAGACAAACCTTGTGGAATTCTATGACCGCACGGATGCTGACAAGCGCCTACGTTGACTGGACATGAGAAACTCTCATCAATCCTCCAACCCACCCTTTCCTCTCCCTTTTAGAGATTGGCTGCAAAGTCAGTTCCCCATTTGGGAGTCTATCACATCTGATTGGTGGGTTATTTCCATCATAGAGCATGGATATAAAATCGAGTTTGAAACTGTGCCACCTTTAGTTCTGATCTGATATACAGCAGCCTCTCCAGCCCTCCTGGAAGAAGTCACTGAGCTGCTTCGTAAGGGATTGATCTGGAAAGTTACTCAGAAGGACTGCATGGTTTCTACTCCATGTACTTCACGGTACCGAAGAGAGACTGGGTTGTCCGCCCCATTCTGGATTTATGTAGAGTTAATAAATGCATCAAAACCAAAACATTCAGAATGACCATGCTCCAGAACATACTTCCATTGCTTAGGAAAGAGAATTGGTTCACATCCCTAGATTTAAATGATGCTTACTTCCACATTAGAATCCATCCTGCTCAAAGGTGTCTCCTGCAGTTTACTGTCGATAGCGAGGTCTATGAATACAACGTGCTCCCTTTTGGGCTCACTACTGCTCAAGTGTATTTATGAAATGCATGGCCCTTGTTTGTGCCTACCTCAGACTCCAGGGTGTCTAGATTTACCCTTACCTGGATGATTAGCTCATCGTCTCCCACTCCAGAGACAACTTACTGGGTTCGATCAACATCACCTGCTCCCTACTTGACCAATTGGAACTTTGTATCAATAATGAAAAGTTACGCCTTGTTCCTTCCCAGGTCATCAGTTACATTGGAGCATGCCTGGACTAACTCCGTACCCAAGTCTTCTTGCTACCAGACCAACAACAGAGACTGATAGATTCTATACAATGTCTTACCACCCAACGGACTGTCCCAGCACACTCCATCCAACAGGTGCTCGGACACATGGTTTCCACGGTATCAGTGGTATTGAATGAAAGACTGCAAATGCAGCCTTTGCAGTTGTGATTCAATTGCAACTTCCACCCAAAACATGATCAACCGAACCAACGGTTACAGCCCCTGCACTCAGTCCTCCGAACCCTATTCTGGTGGACTGTCAACACCAACCTGGCTTGCGGAGTACCATTCCATGCACCGGAACCAACTGTGACACTCTATACTGGTGCCCATTGTGCGTCTCTTTGAACACAAGGCACCTGGCATGGACACGAGATCACCAGACACATCAATTATCTGGTGGTCTTCAAAGCACTATACTCTTTCCAATCGGTCCTACAAGGTCAAATGGTCCAAATTGCATCGGACAATGTGGTAACTGTATTCTCATTCCCTGGACAAGCAGGGCGGAACAAGATTGGTCCCATTAGCACATCTCACCCTTCACATGTGGAACTGGTGCATTGCCCACAGGATCACTCCTCAAGCAGTTCATCTAGCCGGCACTGACAATGAGGAAGCTGACTCTCTCAGCAGACACATGTCCACAACTCATGAGTGGGAGCTAGACCATCAGATTTGCCGATTTCTTTTCAAGCTATGGGGGATACTGACCATATACCTTTTCGCCATGTGCAGGAATTCTGTCTGCAGGACCTACTGCTTCAGAGCAGGCATTAGCCTGGATTCGAACAGGGACACGCTCATGATGTCCCAGGAGAATTAATTCTTCTATTTCCCCCAATCCCGCTGATAACAAAAACTCTGGCAAAGATTTGTCGCGACGCTTGCGGCATCCTTATCACTCCCTGGTGGCCCCGACAGTCCTGGTTCTCCACTCTCCTTCAGCTATCCAACAACAATTTCCTGCACCTACCTCACATCCCACACTTTCTAACTCAAGCACAAGGTGTTATATGGCATCCAGATCTGTATTCTCTGAATCTCACCACTTGGCTCATTTGTTAGCCTCCCCTCAAACAGTTTCTTCGAATCCTACAGCATCCTCAGTACTGACTATTGTCTTCCCTCATTCGGTACCGACAACTCTCTCTGATCTGACGAAAGCATCTTCTTTGGGACTGGCTGTAATTTTCTCAATGCCACCTGCCTTGCGTACAACCACTTCGAGAATCACGGACTCTCACTATACCATCGCTTTAATTGGGCCCAACTTTGATACTGACAACATCTATGAATCTGACAGATCTTCACCCAGACATTCATTTCATCCTGCAATCAATATTACGATCAAATACATGTTGCTCCTATAATGTCAAATGGAAGCGCTTCACCTCCTTTGCCACTGCTAACCAATTTCTACCTCAATCTGCCACCACTGAGAACATTTTACAATTCCTACTCTTGTTACACAGTGGAGGTCTCAAATCTTCCTCTATTATGGTGTATATCACAGTCATCTCGAATCATCAAGGATGCATTGGAGGTTCGTCCGTATTCTCTCACCAGCTTATATGTCGATTCCTACAAGGATTACAAAACCTACAACCTCTGTTCTGCTCAGTCGTCCCAACATGGCGCCTACCTGTCATCTTACAGGCTCTCACCAAACCTCCGTTTGAACCTATGGCTACTACTGATCTCTGCCTTCTCTCATGGAAAATGGCTTTCCTAGTTGCCATTACATCATCCAGAAGAACTAGTGAACTGTGTGCTCTACGTGTTGACCCTCCATATTTCAGTTTCCACAGGGAGAAAGTAGTCCTTCATACTGACCCAGCCTTTCTCCTGAAGGTTGCAATGCCTTTTCACCTTAATCAGGACATCGTTCTACCGACTTATTTCCCTGCTCCATTGACACCAATCAAGTGCTCTCTGCGCACCCTTGACATCTGCAGATGTTTGGCCTTCTGTTGATCCCGAACTGAGTCATTCAGGAAAACCAAATGGCTCTTGTCAGATACTCGGAACATGACAAAGGAGTGCCCATTGGCACTCAAAGACTCAAATTGAACTTGCTTACCACCTCTCCAAACTGGACATACCTGTTACTCCGAAAGGACATTCCACAAGACCTGTCACTGCTTCTTCTGCCCTCCGTGTGAGCACTCCACTACATGATATCTGCAAAGTGGCCACGTGGTCTACCTCGTGCACATTCATGAAGCACTATTGCTTAGACATCAAGGCCAGACAGGATTGCTTTGGCCGCGCCTTCTTGTCCACAATTCTCCAGTGATGACACCGTCCCACCTCCAGGTGTGGTAAGTTTGTTAGTCACCCATGTATGTGTGATTACACGGAGACCACGATGAAGAAAGGCAGAGTGCTTACCTATAACTGTCTTTCTTCGAGTCGTCATCCGTGCATTCACACAACCCACCCACTGGCCCCACTTCGGTGTCGGTGACTGGGTATACTGTATATATACTTTCTTTTATGGAACAGGGTCCTATACTTGCCAGTCCCAGCTGGGGGTGAATGGGTGGTCTTCAGCTTACTGGCATAGGGACAGGCACTCTGCCCATTTATACAATAGGGGAGTAGGGTGCGGAGTTCCTGCCAAAACCATTACAGCTCTTAAATCTTCCTGGCAACAGGCACTGCGCAGGTGCAGCACCCATATGTGTGTGAATGCATGGATGACCACTCAAAGAATGACAGTTACAGGTAAGCAACCTGCCTTTGTGAAATAAGGCCATGCTTCTCCAGAGAAACATCAGTGAAGTTGTAAAGACTGAGCCAGTGATTTGAAAGCAGTTTTCACCAGATAAGAACACAAATTAGTTTTGCTCTGTTCCTAGGTCAGGCAGAAACTATTTTGTCTGCACTTCAAAAACCTGTGCCAACAGATCAACAGAAGCAACCTTCTTCAGAACGTCAAGAGATAAATAAGCTTATTTCAGAAAAGAAAACTTTACAAATGCATATTGCTGCGCAAGAAGAACAGTACAATGTTAAAGTTAATAGTCTGCAATCAGAGTTGGATAGTGCTAAGGGCAATATGGTGAGTAGAATGTAGTATTTCTTTCAGTACTCTCAATCTCTCTGTCTCTGTCTGGCTGTCTCTCTCTTTCCACCCGTGCGCTCGTGTGTGTGTGTAATATATCCACCCCAGATTCTCATTTAAAACAGCAAGAAGTAACTGGAGGTAAACTGAACCTCCTATTGCCAAGAATCAAACTTGAATATTATTTCATTTATTTGGGCATTAAGGACTTAGGATGGGCAACAGTTTACTAGTTTTTTTTAAAAAAAAATCCTGTCTGCCTAAAGCCAGTCTGAATAAAAGTAGGTTATATCAGTTCTGAAAGAGGTACAAGCACTGAGTACCTTTGAGTTCATGAGTTTCCAAGGAAAGAAAATTTGAAAACTGAGGAATGCCCATAGAAGCTGCCCCTCTCCTTACCCTTAGGGAAATGATTTGACGAAGGAGTTCCTGGGTCTGTTCAGTGAACTTGTTGCCACCCGGATGGAAATCTCTCTTTCATGATGTGTCTCAGGTGCTCTCACAAGCGTGAGGAAGAAAAGCTCTTGAGATGTGGATAGGTGTGCTATCAACATCTTGGGAGCTTTCTCTCCTTTTCATCTGATCTGCCTTTGTTGTCTTTCAGCTTAAACTCTTGTCATAGTAGGAGTAGGATCCATTGCTTGTTTAGCTGCAAGCTTTCTTGCAAAAGAAGAGACTCCCATCTTGCTACCTGTCTCTAGACAAAGTGACCTTGTGTCCACCACTTCATCTTTCCATTGGATGGGCCCATGGCAAGAAATCAGGCAGTGGAACATCTCGAGCTTATTGCAGAGTGAAGACCCATTCTTAGGCAAACAGTCCCATGATGGGTCAGATAGAAAAAAGAGTGCTGCTTTTCTCAGGGTGACACCCCCTCCTCCTTTCCATTCCAACATTGTTTCTTCAAGTTGGGTTTTGTTTTGCAGGTTGGAACAAGTCCTTAACAATGCAGACTTCATGAATCAATCAGAAAAAATGGTCAACACCATTTTAGTATCATGATGCCTATCCACAGACATGATATACGAGATGACTGTAGTTACATTCCTAAGGTGGTTCATATAATGTTGCATCATGCCCACATGGTACACAGCTCAGCACTCAGAATTGTTTGGCATCCTTAATCCTAGTCAACAACAAGGGCTGGCAATCAACTCTTTAAAGAGAGAAGTGGTAGCATTAGGCTGCACTTCACTTTTCCCTAACCCCCTAAGTCATAGAATCATAGAACCTTAGAATAGTAGAGCTGGAAGAGGCAAGAAGGCCATCAGGTCCAACCCACTGGCAAGTGCAAGACCCCAAGTTAAACCATCCTTCTCAGGTTACATCTTGAATGCCGCTAGTGTGGGAGAGCTCACAACCTCCCTAGGTAATTGGTTCCATTGACATCTTTTTTTTAAAAGTCAGACAGTTATTCTGGATGTTCAACCAGAACATAGCTTCCTGTAACTTGAGCCCATTTTTCCATGTCCTGCACTCTGGGATGATGAAAAAGAGATCCTGGTCTCCTCCTTGTGGCTATCTTCCAAGTATTTGAAGAGTGCTATTGTATGTCCCCTCAGTTTTCTCTTCTTGAGGCAAATTTAGCTCAACAACTCTCAGTCACCCGTCTCTACTGCCAGCCATACATCTCTACTGCCAGCCTTACTTGCCTGAGTCTCAGAGGTGGTTATTGCTGACTTGCGAGTAGGGCATTCATATAACTTTAGGGAAAGGTGTGGGCGCAGTAGCAAAATTCTTAGTGGAGAGGTTTTCTTTCCCTGCATTTGCTCCTACTTTCATCCTGTTTCTTGCAGCCGTGAAACTGTCTTGCCTTCCATTTCTTTCCAGACACAGCAGAACAGCTGTGGAGATTTTAGTGTTTTAAACTTGGTCTCTCCTCTTGGTGTTGCTGGAGTACAGTTTACTGTACAAAGTGGTCTCTTTCCTTAGCTCTGGAGGCAGTCTATCATGGGGCACTTTGTCAAAAGCTTTGCTAAAGTCAAGATAGATTATGTCCACAATGTTCCCACAGTCCATCACAGAGTTTACCCAATCAAAAAATGAAATCAGATTAGTCTGGCAAGATTTGTTCTTGAAAAATCCATGTTGGCTTCTAGTAATCACTGCATTGTTTTCAATGCATTTGCAGACTAACGGCTTCATAATCTGTCCCAGAATTTTTCCAGGAATTGATTTCAGACTGGTATGTAGTTCTCAGCATTCCTCACTTGCCTTGGTTCATTCCTAGCTTTAGTCTTCTATGCACTTCCATGCTACCTACCTGTACCTTCCTTTGTAGCTTGGCCTTCCTTCCACTTCCTAGACATGTCCTTTTTGTTTTCAAATCATCTCTAAGCTTTTTGTGAAGCTGCATGGGCTTATTCTGTTGTCTTCTATCCCTTGCAATTGTGCCTTTAGAATTTCCTTTTTGAAATATTCCCATCCATCTTGAACTTCCTTTCTCATTAGAGTCACTTGCCATGGGACTTTAGTTATCATTGTCCTGAATTTATGAAAATTGGCTTTCTTGAAATCCTGGGTACATGTTTGGCTACATTTGGCTTTTGCTTTCTTTAGAATCAAGAACTGAAATATGGCATGGTCATTTTCCCCCAGAGTTCCTGTAACTGCCACTATGTCCACTAGGGCTTCCCTGTTGGTTAGTATCCAGTCAAGGGTAGCTGTTCCTCTTGTTCCTTCCTCTACTTTCTGTTGAAGGCAGTTATCAGCAACACATGTTAGGAATCTCTTGGAGGAGCCATGTTTGGCAGAATTTGTCTCCCAACAGATATCAAAGAAATTGAAGTCCCCCATAATGATGACATCATGCTTCCTTGAAACACTGGTAGTTTGCTTTTCAAAAGTTTCACCCTCATCTTCTTGACTGGGTGGTGGGTAATAGACTCCAACCACTGTGATCCTTTTATTCCTTGCTCCATTTATATTAATCCAGATGCTCTCAATAGGGCTACTAAGCTCACCCTCCTGTATCCAGGGTTAGGTATGTTTAACATATAGTTCACCACCACCTCCCCTTCTGTTCTTTCTTGAACAGGTTATAACTTTGAATTCCAGTCATGGGATGCATCTCACCAAATTTCAGTTATACTTGTCATAGGCTATTTGCCCTCCCTTGTTAAGAGTTCAAGTTCATGCTGCTTGTTTTCCTACCAGGGTGGATAAAAATCAATGGTTTCTAAAAATAATAATAATAAAAAATCAGATTATAAAATGCTTATGCACCACAACAGGGGGAACAGCTTTAACAATGTCCAATAATGGTCTTCCAAAAAATGCAGGAAGAAAGCTAGAGTATAAAGCATGTGTGTATATACTAATGCCCAGAGTGTGGGAAACAGGGTAGATTACCATGAGTCAGTTAGACAAGATGTAAATAATGGTTTTGCACACACGCCTGCCTTACCCATAGGTAGAAGAACATCATTAAAATATTCCCAAATGGGGTCCTTTTTATAGCTTTACAGGGGAATAATAATATAATAAACCTCAGGCTGTACACAAAAAGATTCAAAGACTTGTGGAATATTCTGCCCAAAAGGTTTCAGTTTCATTTTTACTCCTTGCCCCTCCCTTCTCACACTTAGCTTCTTGTGCAGATCTGTTCAATTCCCAACAATCTTCTATTCATTGAATTTTTGAAACTTAGCACTTAAGAGGTAAGGGGTTGATTAAGTGTACATACATTTGCAAAGGAGCAATGGGATTAAGGTCTTTTTCTTGACTCTGTATGTTTATTTTATGGCATTTGTGCTGTGAAGAAGAGGCATGTGATCTCTGCAGTTTTGAGAAATGTAAAACCAAGCACCTGTAATCATATCTTCCAGATAGAAAAGCTGTCCAATAATTTACAAAAAGTGGCAGAGCATACCATTGTGAATGGATTAATGGCATTCACTTACCAAAAATTTTAAACAATGCATGAATATACAGCTTCATGCTGCATAATTTGAAAAAAATCCTTATCTCATGACAAATAACCTTTGGACTATGTTGTTGTTGTTAGTCACGAAGTTGTGTCCGACTCATCATGACCCCATGAACAACATTCCTCCAGGCCTTCCTGTCCTGCACCATCCCCCAGAGTCCGCTTAAGCTCACACCGACTGCTTCAGTGACTCCATCTAGCCACCTCATCCTCTGCCATCCCCTTCTTCTTTTGCCTTCAATTGTTCCCAGCATTAGGCTCTTCTCCAGTGAGTCCTTCCTTCTCATTAGGTGGCCAAAGTATTTGAGTTTCATCTTCAGTATCTGGCCTTCTAAAGAGCAGTATCTGGCCTTCTAAAGAGCATTCTGGCCTTTGGACTATAATGTATCTTAAATAAAAAACTATCTTTGGGTAGATTTTTCCTCAAAAAACATTTTATTTTTTAAAAAATCTAGTGAGAATATAAAGAAGGAAAGTTGTTTTAGGCATAATGAGCATGTGGGTTAGAGGGTGCATAGCCCAGACCTTCTAACTGAAGGACCACTCTGTTCTTCAAGATGTTAGTAGTTCCCTGCATGGCCTTGTGCATCAGTGCTTCTCTCAAAAACCTGTTCAAAGTGGCTCCTTGGGCCAATACTTCCACCTTCATTCATCACTACAAAACCAACAAATAGACATTGGCAAGATGACTTGCAACGTGCTCTAAAACATCTTATTTTAGAATACTACTTTTTGACACTTCTTTTGTTAGCACCACTAATCAAAAACAGAATAATGGATTTTCTGCAAAGTGTTCTTCCAATCAACAGAAAGATGGACCTGATAAATTCTCTCATGCTGTGCATGATGATACTAAGTGGCTGTGAGGTAGTATTAGTCCCTGAGCATCATATTTGTGTGGTCCGTTAGAATAAACTCCTTTCTGTTGCTTTGATTTCTTCTTCTTTTGCTCTAATGTGGTAGTATATCTGAGATGTAGTGGTTATTGTGAACAATTTCTACACATCAAATCCTCTCCCTTCTCTTTGGGTGGGATGTGAGCTTTCTTTTTAGCCACACCTTCCCAAGGAAGACAGGAGGTAACCTATCAATCCACTCTCCAGTGACCAGGAGCACTTTCCTTGATAAGTCCAACTTTGGCCAGTCGCAAGAGAGGACAAAGCTACTAAAGCCCCATACTCTGGCTCCTATTCAATAATCCCCTTTTCTTGAAATGTCAGCCAACATTACTCATGTATCTTGTAAGCAGTTTTGAAGGTATGTGTGGCTAGAGAGTATTGGGCATGCATCTGTTTCAGATGACAAAAACATCCCAAAGCCAAAGTGGGATGCTTCAGAGCATCTTTGTTTGAGGAAAAGTAGAGGCTTTATATGAGAAAAAGTAGAACTTTGCTGAAAAAGCTCACAGCAAATCAGGCTACTCCTGAAGATTTATGACTGCCACAGAGACTCAATGGAAGCAGTCTTTCACACTCTTAAAAATGGCTACATTTCACCTCTGTTGTCCCTATAAAAGGAAAAAGGCAGGAAGAAGGGATAGAGGGTGTGCATTGTGGGTTTGTAACTGACAAAGCAAGCTTCCAGTCAGGAAATAACTGTACGAGGGCTCTTTTTTTTCCTCTTCAAACCACACTGCTTTAGGGGGTAGGGTTATGGGCAGAAGGATATCATCAAAACAAAATCTCAAACTGTATTCATTTTAACTGTCAAACCTCTGTACCTACCTGTGTAAAATTTTCCAAGTACTTACCTAGGTGCATCCCTTTGACATACTCCATTTTCACACAAAACTGTGGGGGTGGGGTGGGGGAAGAACAATTTCTTTTTCAACCCTCCTAAACACTAAAGGATGGCTTTGCCCACATACCCCATTCCAGTCTCCATCCCCTCAGAAAAGACTAATGTTTGAGGAACTCCAGCACCCATTTATTTGGCAGTCTTCGTCCACCCAGAAAGTGCTAATTTCCCTGAAGATTTTACTCTAAGATGTTATAGCTGTGTAATTATTTGTTCATGAAAGGGAAGCTTAGAATTAGTGATCAGAGTAGTCTGAATTGAATTAGAACACTCTCTGAAGTGAGATCTGAATTGATTCTTGCATTTGGTGCACATTCCTACTAAAAAGTTGGCATCCCCTTTTTACGTGTGAGTTAAGACTGTCTGCCAGTATCCAGTGCCACTTCCTGTCGTGTGTGTGTGCAATTTTCAGTGCTTTTGTGGAATTGCAGCATACCCTCACCTATGAGCATAGGTCATAAAGAGTGCAAATCAAACATGACAAACATTTCTTCAGATAGCAAATGCATTTGAAGGCCATAGATAATTTTTAATGCCCAGCTGTAAAACAGTTCACCTATAATCTCTTATAAATACAAAGTAAAAACATAAATATAGACCACTTTAGTTTAAATCAGTCTTTTGTCTTCTAGTGCTGTTGCTTCTGCAGCAGTTGTTGCTTGATCCCTAGGGTCTGTTCTGATTACTGCAAGCTCTGAGGATCACTGGGATCCCATAGCAGTTGCAACAGCTGTTGGAGAGTACGTGAAGGTAGGAATGTTTTGAGCTCATGCTGGCAGCTGGAGACTGGAGATTATGGTTATATAGGCTTTCTGCTTCTTTAAGGGCTTTGTGGGGAATATTATTGAGAGGTTTATAGCCCCCAACTGAAATTACTGTATATGTACTCAGTATTCCAAGCTGCTAATATTTGGTATTGTGTGTATGTAATCTTCATTTTGCATTATTCAGTGATTTAGTGGTTGGGTTGAACATAGCTTTGTCTTAGCCTGCCAATTAGTAATAACAAATCTCTATTTACACATGTTGTTGTAGGTCAGTTTCATGTATGCAAGATTCATCTGTTACTCCTGCCCCCATATTTATATGCTATGTCTCACTTTCTGGCCATTTTCCGTACTGCCATCCTCCTTACAAAAATTCCCTAGTGCTGTACAATTTTGTGCAGGCACAGTAAGGCTGAAGAGCCTAAACTCTCCTACCTTATCTGCATGCAAGTTAGATTACTTTCCTGTACCCAAGCTAAGGAATGATCTTATCCCCTCATGTTAGTGATGAGCTATGAATAAATGCTGTATTCTGTGAGCTGCTGCTTTGCCACCAAGTGGCTTGTGGGAATCAGCTACAAAGTGATAGAATTAAAAATAGTAGTTTCATGAAATTTTCTTTGATCTTCCTCCCTTCCTCCCCACACACATTTTATTAGACTATATTGAAGCAGAAAATCGACAAGTTATTGGAAGAACGTACAGCCAAGAAGGAGCATAATTCCAAACTGGAACAAAGCATCCAGAGTACAAAGACTCCTGATATAGCACACTTGCAGATCACCAGTGAGTTTTGGAAAATACTTATCTGAATAAGCCAATGAAAGTTCTTTAATGCAATTACCAGCTCCTTTGTGGTTTTAGAGTGACTAAAAAAGAGGTCTGAGATACAAATTTCATGTAGCCATGTGCACAGATGTCTTTTTATCCCTCCTCCACTTTCACAATTGCCACAGACCTGCATACCCACAAAAAGTCACAGAGCATCATCTGCTAAAGTGAGGGGAAAATCTGCAGAACCCTGTTATACACGCAGAACTGTTTTACATGCAAACTACATTTTTTCATCACATTTTTATTATCTTTGTGTCAGGAAATGTGAAGGGTAGAAGAATCTTGGCACATGAGAGTCTAGGATGCACTTTTAGGGGACATTATTGAAATACCTATTTGCCTTTTACTGGAGTGATTTCATTTACAGCTAGGGTACATGCACAGATTAGCCTATATGTGGTCTCATGTCCCACCATTGGCAGCTGAAAACAGACAAAGAAACTGAACAGGCAACATTACTTATACCAGAAAGTTTTAAGTGTACACCTGCAAAAAAAAAACAAAAAACAAAACAAAAACAACAACAACCAAAAACACCACCACAACCACAGTTTTCAGGGCCAAATCAAATACAACCCTTATTGGCTTTGTGGGATCTCCAAATGCCTCCCCACAACAGTGCAAAGGACAGTGGGGTACATGCTAGAGTCTGCTGGAGGACTGAGAGGGAAGGAGGAGGAAAAGATTCACAGGAAGCCTGATCATCTGTTTGGTATATCATAGGACATTCAGTGAACAGCCAAACCCACTGTAACTTATACCCAGGATGGATTAGCATGATGTGCAGACCTTCCCACAGTATTGGATTCAAACTGTAGCTGCAATCCCATACACACTTTAACTCAATGGATCTTTCTTCTAAGTAGCCTTGAATAGAATAGTGATTTAATTTAAACTGATTCCTCCATGGGCATTAAAGTCTCTGTCCAAAGCTATAACAAAATGGGGAAAGGTGTCCACTAAATATTCATTGATGTGCTGGGTAGGATATGGAGACTAAGTATTGGAAGGGAAAATATGAACCACTGTAAAAGAAAGGTTAAACACATTCACCAGCTTGTAGCCAGTCATAATGGAGATGGTGAACGCCTTTCCAACGGTCTGTCAGTTAGGAGAGACCTCATTCTCATCTAGACAAGGCTGTTTAGTCCATTTCCAGTTTATGAACCCAGGACTCCTGCAGGCAAGCAGCACTGTGGGCTTTTAACACATCCAAGGAGCTATGCTCCATTCTGTGTACCTCCCATCCAGCAACATTCTCAAGAGAGTAGCGAAAAACTCAAACCTGTACATAACTAAGATGATACAGATTGTCATTACAGATTCGAGACTGCTTCAACTCATTTTTTATGGAAAATAAGAGAAGTGCCTTTTATGGCCCAAAAACTGAGTAACAATTGGGTCCCTCCTTGAGGCTATGGCATACTTTTTAACGATGACCTAGTTATTTAATTAAACATTATTAATTGGATTACCAGAAATTGACTTAGAGCGCATTTCAGTCTTTTTGCCATTAGTATCTAAACACATTTGTTGGTTTAACAGTTTGTTTCCCTCCAGAAAAGCCTTCATAGGCAATGAAATTTCTTCCCCTGGATCTCCTCTATTCTCAAAAGAAACTCACTGGGCCTATCATGTTAATCATCCTTACACTCTGTTGGTATTTAGACCTTATATGTCAGTATAGTGGTCTGTCCCAAAATACTTCTTTTATTGTTGTTAGTTGTGAAGTTGTGTCCAACCCATCACGACCCCATGGATAACATTCCTCCAGGCCCTCCTCTCCTCCACTATCCTCCGGCGTCTACTTAAGCTCACACAGACTGCTTCAGTGACTCCATCTAGCCACCTCATTCTCTGCCATCCCCTCCTTCTTTTGCCATCTATTGTTCCCAGCATTAGGCTCTTCTCCAGTGAGTCCTTCCTTCTCATTAGGTGGCCAAAGTATTTGAGTTTCATTTTCAGGATCTGGCCTTCTAAGGAACAGTCAGGGTTGATCTCCTCTAAGACTGACTGGCTTGATCTCCTTGCAGTCCAAGGGACTTGCAGGAGTCTTCTCCAGCAGCACAATTCAAAGGCCTCATTTCTTTAGCGCTCAGCCTTCCTTATGATCTAGCTTTCACAGCCATATGTTGCAACTGGGAAAACCATAGCCTTGACTATACGCACTTTTGTTGACATCACTTTTGAGGGTGATGTCTCTGATTTTTAGTATGCTGTCTAGATTTGCCATAGCTTTCCTCCCCAGGAGCAAGAGTCTTTTAATTTCTTGGCTGCAGTCACCATCTGCGGTGATGTTGGAGCCCAGGAAATTACAATCTGTCACTACCTCCATTTCTTCCCCATCTATTTGCCAGGAAGTGAGAAGACCAGATGCTATGATCTTAGTTTTCTTAATGTTGAGTTTCAAGCCAACTTTTGTGCTCTCCTCTTTCAACCGCATCAAGAGGCTCTTTAGTTCCCCTTCAATTTCTGCCATTAGAGTAGTATCATCTGCATATAGCTGCGGTTGTTGATATTTCTCCCAGCAATCTTAATTCCAACTGGTAATTCATCTAGCCCCGCCTTTCTCATGATGAACGCTGCATATAAGTTAAATAGGCAGGGCGACAGTATACATCCTTGCAGAACTCCTTTCTCAATTTGGAACAAATCAGTGGTCCCATGTCCAGTTCTTGACCTGCATATAGGTTTCTCAAGAGACAAATAAGATGGTCTGGGACTCCCATCTCTCTAAGAACTTGCCACAATTTGTTGTGATCCACACAATCAAAGGCTTTAGCATAGTCAATGAAGCAGAAGTAGATGGTTTTTCTGGAACTCCCTAGCTTTCTCCATGATCCACAGTATGTTGGCAATTTGATCTCTTGTTCCTCTGCCTCTTCAAAACCCTGTCTGTACTTCTAGTCTTTCTCATTCCACATACTGCTGGAGCCTAGCTTGTAGGATTTTGAGCATAATTTTGCTAGCACGTGAAATGAGTGCAATGGTGCGGTAGTTTGAACATTCTTTGGCATTGCCCTTCTTTGGAATTGGAATGTAACCTGACCTTTTCCAATTCAGTGGCCACTGTTGAGTTTTCCAAATTTGCTGGCATATTGAGTGTAGCACTGCTTCGTCTTTCAGGATTTTGAATAGCTCAGCTGGAATACTTTCTCCTCCACTAGCTTTGTTGTTGCTAAGATGACTTAAGGCCCATTTGACTTCACATTCCGGGAGTCTGGCTCAAGGTCAGTGATCACACCATCGTGGTTATCAGGGATGTTAAGGTCTTTTTTGTATAGTTTTTCTGTATAATCTTGCCACTTCTTTTAATCTCCTTTGCCTCTATTAGGTCCTTGCCATTTTGGTCCTTTATCATGCCCATCTTTGCATGAAACATTGCCTTTATATCTCCAATTTTCTTGAAGAGATCTCTGGTCCTCCCTATTCTATTGTATTCTTCTATTTCTTTACATTATTCATTGAAGAAGGCATTCTTATCTCTTCCAGCTATTCTCTGGAATTCTGCATTCAGTTGGGTGTATCTTTCTCCCTTGCCTTTCCCTTCCCTTCTTTCCTCAGCTATTTGTAAAGCTTCCTCAGACAGCCATTTTGCTTTCTCGCATTTCTTTTTCTTTGGGATGGTTTTAGTTGCTGCCTCTTGTACAATGTCATGAACCTCCGTCCATAGTTCTTCAGGCATTCTATCAGATCTTATTCCTTAAATCTATTTGTCACCTCTACTGTATATTCATCAGGGATATGATTTAGGTCATACCTGAGTGGCCTAGTGCTTTTCCCTACTCTCTTCAATTTAAGCCTAAATTTTGCAACAAGAAGTCCATGATCTGAGCCACAGACAGCTCCTGGTCTTGTTTTTACTGACTGTATAGAGCTTCTCCATCTTTGGGGCAGAGCACATAGTCAATCTGATTTCTGTGTTGACCATCTGGTGATGTCCATGTGTAGAGTCATCTCTTGGGTTGTTGGAAAAGAGTTTGCTATGACCATCGTATTCTCTTGACAAAATTCTACCAGCCTGTGCCCTGCTTCATTTTGTACTCCAAGGCCAAGCTTGCCAGTTATTCCAGTTATCTTTTGGCTTCCTACTTTAGCATTCCAATCCCCCATGATGATAAGGACATCATTTTTTTTTTTTGGTGTTAATTCTAGAAGGTGTTGTAGGCCTTCACAGAACTGGTCAACTTCAGTCTCTTCAGCATCAGTGGTTGGGGCATAGACTTGAACTACTGTGATGTTGAATGGTTTGCCTTGGATTCGAACTGAGATCATTCTGTCATTTTGGAGATTGTTTCCCAGTACTGCTTTTCCTACTCTTTTATTGACTATGAAGGCTACTCCATTTCTTCTGAGGGATTCTTGCCCACAGTAGTATACCTGATGGTCATCTGAATTAAATTCACCCATTTCTGTCCATTTTAGTTCACTGATTCCTAAGATGTCAATGCTCAGTCTTGTCATCTCTTTTTTGACCACATCCAACTTGCCTTGATTCATGGATCTTACATTCCAGGTTCCTATGGAGTATAGATCTTTACAGCATTGGACTTTCCTTTCACCACCAGATACATCTGCAACTGAGTGTCTTTTCGGCTTTGACCTAGTCATTTCATTCTTTCTGGCGCTACTAGTACTAACCCTCTGCTCTTCTTCAGTAGCACATTGGACACCTTCCGACCTGAGGGGCTCAACTTCCGGCATCATATCTTTTATCTTTATAATTCTGTCCATGGGGTTTTCATGGCAGGGATAATGGAGAGGGTTGCCATTTTCTTCTCCAGTGGATCACGTTTTGTCAGAGTTCTCTGCTTTGACCTGGCCGTCTTGGTAGCCCTGCACGGCATACCTCATAGCTTCATTGAGCTACACAAGCCCCTTCGCCACAACAAGGCAGTGATCCTTTTACCCTTTCTAAGTCCCACCTAAAAATGGGGTTTAAACTCATGCCTATAAGTGGAATAGCTTGCTCTTTTTTATGCTCCTGAAGTAGTTAAATCTTTAGAACAAGTGGAAAAGCAAGGACACCTTTAGGAAACATGAGTCCCCCCACTTCCCAAGGATCTTACCACAAAGAGAATGAACCAGTCACCACCCCATTTTTATAAACAAAAGCCCTCTTGCCTGTCTGGTTGCATCTGGCAGCTTGCAGTGTAACCAAAGGGAAAATCAACTTGGCTTGCTCTTTCTGAAGGGCAGTGCTAAGCTGGGAACTTGCTGGATTTTGCCAGCAGCCCCCTTGTGCACACTGCCACCTGAGGCTCCTTTTTCCCTCACCCCAATTCACAGCTGTGCAAATGTGGGGGGAAATGAATTAAAATTTTAAAAATAGATTTATTTTCAGCTTTTGTCATGGTTTTGCTATGGCAGAACCCTACCATGTTCTGGCCCTGCACCCAAAATTTCATATTTTTTAAGTTACATTTTTCTCCAGTGGTGGGGAGAACTTTCATGCAAAGTGCTGTCCTCCAGCTGCCTACCATCCTTATTCCCCAGAATGCCTCTGGTCCCCATTCTTAGGTCCCCACAAACATTCTTAGGTAGTGAAGAGCTGAGCACTCTGTTCTGAAAGTATGGTTTGGTGTTTTGGGGCTCAGAGTCCACTTTTGCTATATATTCAAAAGTTCGGTCTTGGGCAAGTTTCTTATCTTTTAACCAGTTTGCCTTTCTGTGAAATGAATGCTTTGTGACTGTACCAACAATGACATGCAGTGCCCCTTGGATCTCAGGCTGATTGATGAGTTCCCTGTTTGTGGCCTAAATGTGTTGTATCTTTTTCTTTAGAGCTTGAAACTCAGAACCAGCAGTTAAGAGATGAGAATGCTAGTTTGAAGCAATGTCTCCAGAATCTTCACAAGATGCAGGAGCTTGCAGAGCTATTACAGGAAAGCCACAGGTAGAAGCTAGATAAAAATCATTATCTGGGATTTAAAATTCTTAAACCATTTTAATTTTCTGTTGAATTTCAATATTCAGTGAGAACTATTGCCTCCAAAAGGTAGGGGTCTTCCATGTCCCATATCTTCTTTCACCTGCATTTGCTTCAAGCTGTTCTTACTCTTGCTCAGCCATGATAACTAAATGCCTCTATAGAATACTAGATGCTGAGGGAAACAGGGAAATAAAATGCTAGACTAGAAGGAAAGAAGTTATTGCCCAAGATCACAAACTGAGTGAAAAGTACAGGTAGAGACCCTGTCATTTTTGTAATGCTAGAGAAAATCAGTAACAATAGATTGCAGACAGAATGGGCAAGTAATGAGAGAGACATCTCTTTCTGTGAATGCCTGAGCTTCCCCTACACATGTGCAAAATACACGTAAGTGCCAGCTTATTTTCCTTTGGTGGGGGCAAATCGAAGTTATGCTACATAGAGGCAATTCTAAGCAAAAATTTATGGCGCTCCATCTCAGGACAAGTATGACTATCCCCAGCGTAAATATTCTTAGGTGTATGTTGAAGCCTTTATTCATACAATTGTTTGGATCCTGACTTTTCCAGGTTTCTCTGATCATTTTAATTTTAATTAATTTAATTATGCTTATTTTTTGTAATAGGAATTAACTCTTTTGTTGGTATTTGTATTATGAATATTTGTAAGTTGTTTTATGCTTCTGCTTTGTGGGAAGAGTGAACTATAAAAAATGTAAATGAATTAACTAGTTAAGCAAAAGGGTTTTAGAGAAGATGATAAGAGATTATCTTTATTTCCACAGTGAGTCATTAGTACCCAATGGTAATATGTATGCATAAAACACAGATCTGGAATTTGTTTTAAAAAATCAAAATGACAACAGGAACAGGGATAGGGAAAGAAGCATTTTTCAAATTCCATCAAAGGCAAGATCTGAAAGTCTGTGAAAGAGCATTATTTGACTGAGCCGCTGAAAATCTTGCCAGAAGAGAGCAAAGGGTTTTGGAAAGGTTGGAAAGAAGAGCTTGGTGGTTCTGTTCCTAAGAGGCCAGCTCTCTTGTCTCCATAAGTGGCCTATGCCACTGGAAAAAGTCCAAACCAGGCTTGATGATGGTCAGGCCCCCCTGACCTTTTTTCCCTAGTACCTGATAGCCTACAATTGAAAGCCTACTGCTTCAAACTAAGGAGGCTCTGGCTTTTGCTCATTTTTAACTGAATTTCATTATTACCTTGCTATATATGCCATCTATTCATTTACAATGCATTAGGTGAAGTCGTTTTCAAAGAATAAGAGCAGTGTTTCTGAATTTAAAACACAGAGATGTTAAATGGGTTCAGCCTTCCAGTTCACCTGATGAAAAATATTTCAATCCACTGTTCGTTTGCTGGGGAGGACATTTTTGAGGAAATGATCCCAAGTATACTAAATCTATTTGGGAGCTTTAAGTTACATTTTTACATTCTCTCCATGTAGCCTTCTAAACTGGATTCTCAAAGTGGGCCTGCTGCTACGCGTATGCTGGGGCAACTAGCCCTAAAAATGTTGATCATGTGAGCAGCTTGTCTAGGTTACCTGTTCACTCCTACTTCCATTGGAAAAATGGTAATTTGCTGTGTTTCCATTCATAGAAAGGAGAAAGAGAGCTCATTTGGAGTATGTTGTTCACACTGCAGACCTCTCTCAGGAGCTGAAATTTGGTACTTGTTTGCCTCTTCTAGAACTCTGCTAGTTTTGAAAGTGCAGCATTCAGTTGTTGCTCTCAGGCCTGCCAGCTTGGGCACTGATTATCCTTCCTAGGGTGAGTGCAGGTATGCGCACTGAGAAGGATTGTCCTATGTCCCAACTAAACCCTTCCATGCATGCAGCAAAGATGAGGATAAATGGATGGGGGCTCCAACTGCCCATTTTAAGAGGCCTTTGTTCTTCAGGCTAGGGGTCCTTGTGTCATTCCCTAATGGTGTAAGTTAAGAAAATATGTGATGGCTTCTTGCAGAACACTGGTTTCTACCAATGAGCATCTTTTGAAAGAACTGGAGAAGACACGTTTGAAACATAAAGCTGAGGTGGAACAGCTGAACTGGAATTACAATAAGTTGAAGAAAACAGTGGACACACAACTGCCGCTGCTACCACCACCACCAGCAGCAACAACAGCATTCGAACCAGCTGCGGCAGGGCGAGCAGTACCACCACCACCTCCTGTTCCTGCTCCCACTCCTCCTAGCAATGTGAATAAGAATGGGCATTAGAAGATTTTCTGTAAATGATTTTAAAAGGTGATTAATCCTTGACATTCCTCATCACCATGAACCAGGGAGTAATATTGTAGCCTGCCTTGCTTGCTTGCTTGCTTGCTTGCTTGCTTGCTTGCTTGCTTGCTTGCTTGGAAATCTTATATGCCGCCCCATTTGCAAAAGCCTCGGGGCGGCTTCCGACACAAATAAATAGCAATACAAATACATAAAAAAAAGCTTATGTCACTTGTACTGTATTCTATTTTTTATATTTTTGTTTGCTTGTAATTTATGAACATATAATTGAAAGTATTAAACTGTTGAATGAGTTTAATGCAGACTTCAGTGATGGCAATATATCAAGTAAGATGAGTTTTTAAGTAAGAGCAGAGTGACATATTCTAGTCCAATGTTGCCCTCAGATTAAAAACTTTATTACATTTAATAAAACAACAACAACTGACCAAAACCAGGTTTCCCTTTTGCAAGTATAATCCAACAGTGTCTGTGCATATGATGTGCATTTCCTACTTGAGAAATTTAAGTGGATTAGATAAAAGCCTCTCTAAATGCACTTCAGTTTTTTTAAGCTGAGTTGTTCTTCATCTTCTCTCCAGATGAAGCATTTCATTTTAATAATTCATAAGTAAATAGCAAAGTGAGATTAGAAAATATAGTAATGGGCAGACAGGGGTTTGTTAATTCCTTTCAACAGCTGAATGTGTACCACTGTTGGGTTGAATGTGTACCTAATATTTCTGTGCATCAATTAGTGAATATAAAACAAGAACCATCCATAATCTTGTATAAGGTTTCATATGCAAGTATTTTAAACAACTGGGATCTTTGCATCTTACCCACGTTCCCCTATTTATTTATTTATTTATTTATTTATTATTTATTACAAGCATTTATATCCCATCCTTCTGCCAAGCGCTCAGGATGGCTTACACAATACCTATCTCTCATCCAATCTGCCTGATGCTCAGGAATGTTGAATTGATGTTGATGTTACTCCTTTGAAATGTGCATTCTCCCTCAGTGATGCCACAGAGGGTAACTTCAGTGTGGAAATATTTTTGCCTGCTCTCTTCTTATATGATGCAGGGTGCCTTCTCAGGGCTTCATCAGAGCACCACACCTGTTCATCTGTCTTTGCACTCTGCCCTCATTCTCCCTCCCTCCCCTGGATCAGATGTTCACTCAGGGAATGAAGTCAGGTATCTACTATTAAGTGGCTATAGAAGGCAGTAAGTTAAAAGTTATTGGCTGAGTTCAGACAACACAGCAAACCATGGTAGGGTTTTTTTACATTGTTTGTTGTGTTGTCCAGATCCACTTGTGGTATTTTACCATAGTAAGTTTGGTCTTTAAAAACCATAATAAGAAACACTGGTTTCTCTGTACCACTATGGCTTGCTGTGCTGTCTGAACCCAGGATTGTGGTTTCCATAGTCCCAATATGCAACTACCGGAGTGCCCTGGAAAGAAAAACTACTCTAGGCATCCAGCCTATATGTGTGGACCAAAACAGAAGAGTCAGGGGACATAGACAGGGAGCAGTACACATTGGAATTGAATTTCAGGCACAGTAGCTGATGGGATATATGCCAACAGTGAGAGGACTGAGCAAGGAGGATGTGGAAACCACAATAATGTAGAAACCATGTGATTGTTTGTTATTGGATACATCATGATAGAAAACCACAAACTCTGGTAACCATGCTTGTTTGCTTGTTGTGTTGCCTGAACCCGACAAACACACTTCTTACAGCCTCCAGCTCTCCAAAGGAGAAGCTGGATTAACGCTCAGTCTTCTATAAGAAGGGAGCTCTATCTCAGGCATCAGCAATCAAGCCTTAGTCTGGTTGCTAAGATGCTCAGATGTGAAGAGTTCTCAGATGCTATACCAAATTTCCCAGATGGTAGTGGCTATCCTACACCAGTGCTGCCCCAAACTGAGGAGAACCCACACAGGCCCTGGTAAGTCCTGTCCTGGAAACAACAAATGTTACACTTTCTAATTTATAGGTGAAAATTAGCTCCCATAGTTTTGCAAATGGATTAGGAAGATAGTGGACTTGAGTAAATGCTAAAACTTCGTAGCCTGTTAGGCTGAATGGCTAAGAACATCAATCATGTGTTTCCTCAACCCTCCCATTTATCCATTCCCCCCCCCCAAGTGAAGGGGGGCAGTTTCAAGATTGTGCAGATGCCCTGCATCCAGTATAGAAAAAGTACACCTTCTCCTGACAAGATTGAGGCCTTGAAGAATGAACACCCTGAAATTTTGATGGGTGAACTGCCACCTCATACCCAACCTTCCATAAAATAGCCAAAGCTGCCCCTTTTATGGCTGATGTAGCCCTATGAGCTATACAGTACTTTCTGTGAGTTGTGATAGTTGATGTAGTAATAAGATGGATAGCTATAGAATTATGGATCAATCACAGCTGGAACTTGCAGAAAAATAACTTTGCTAGCAACTTTCCATGAATCTTCTTGGCACAGCCAGGCGTGTATCTTTGTTGTTCTTACTACCCTCTGAGTGTTAGCCCCACAGGAAATGTGTGTATTAGATTGATTTTACTGTAAGTGGTAGGAAACTTGAATGATGTGCAAAATGTGAGTAGTGGAGTTGCCCAGTGATATTTCTCAACCAGAGGACCAGTTCCTGTTCTGTGCAGTTGAATAGAGTAAGACTATACTCTGAATATACAATAAGGCAGATTAATTGCATCGACCACTATATCCCCACACTTCCAAGATCTACTGAGTTGGACTAAGGGCACAGTCCTATGTATTTAGTTCTGCCTGTGACACAAAGAAGGAAAAAATTGGCCTGATCACGAAGAATGTACATCATGACACAGACATTCAAGCCCAGGGATCAAATCCAGTCCTCTAGGATTACTCAGATAGCCATAACTCCCACCCCCAAAACAGCACTTTCCCCTAACAATCATTTGGAAGTTCCCTAGCTTCTGTGCAGCTTTCTTTTCCTTTCTAAAAAGTTGAAATACCTCTTCTAGGACTCAGTTATGGGCACTAAGCTCTTTAAGGTAAAATATGCTGGGATTTTGGAGTGGTCTTTTTTGCCTTTGGCTCTGTCCACGACCAGAATAGAACCCTGAAGAGCTTATGCAACATGGAGTTGGGCCCTCAGGTTGAAAAAGGTTCAGAATTCCTGATGTACATGTGCAAATGAATCTCATTACAAGCAAATAACTCATCTATATTAAACACATTTATTGATCACTTTACCAACTTAAGATACAATTCTATACACTCAGCAGCAATAATATACATTACAGAAAGCTTAAATCTAAAGAACAATGTATTACACAATATATAAACCAACTAATCTATTTTCAAGCCAAGCTTTACAGCACTTATTTGGACAACTGCTGAATCCAAACATTTCTAATTGATGAATGTTTGCCTGAAAAGCACAAGTTACTATGGTTAATGAGGCTTTTAGAAATTATCCAGACAAGTTGCAGAAAATGTGAACATCCAGAACACTTGCCACTACTTTAACATACACCCAGATAGTGATAACATTTAAGTTTCTTGCATTAATAAACTGTGTAAAAAATATACTGCATATATATATATATATATATATATATTCATATAAATTGTTTCATTTTCCTGAAAAAGCCTAGTACAAACTAGTAGTATATAACCCTCTTTCAAGTTTATTTTAATTTATTTGTTTTAAGATTTAATACTAGCAGTTTAAATTAATACAAAATAAAAAATAGGGGTTAGAGCAGGCCAAAGTGATGGCATAAGTAGTCATTGCGCAGGGCTTTTCTTTTTCCCAGTGTATCGGCAAATATGTTTTGCAGTGACCAAATGCCTAGTTCTCTTTAGTCCTCCTTTTTCTTTTACCATTTAATTAAATCCAATCATTCCTCTAGTAGCTATTTTAACTTGTAGTATTTTCAGTGGCTAATTTGGGCCAACTTCCAAGGTTATATAGGGCTTTTCACAATATTAGAATCTCAGTGAGCACAAAAGAATCTGGCAAAATATAGGGCCAATTAGATAGGAATGTTGATTGCATTTAACATGCATCCCTCCCTCTTTTTTAGAAAAGACCCAGTCAAGCTTGAGTCTCCTGAAAGTAGGGGCATCATCCAATACATACATGGTACAAGAAAAATGTTCTTCCCAAACTGCTGTTCCCCTGGAAAGAAATTCCATCAGTTCCCTATTTTATGCAAGTTTGCTCAGTAAGCCCCCCTTCACCTAATAAGCATCCATGAAACGACATTCATAGGACTGCAGTTGTAGCATAAAATAATTTGTGCTAGATTGTACCCATTGTGCTCAGAGCAGTCAATTTAGGAGGTCTGTTAGCATGCACAAATACTCTGTGGTGTATTATTTGTTGGTTTTTATTAATGATAGATTATTAATGATGGATTATTGAAAAATGGGTTGAATTCATGTCAGTTTTACATATATTGTCTGGGGTTCCAATGGAGCTATGAGCAAATTCCCCTACTCCACTACTAGTTGACTTATGATGCAAATGCATATTTAGGTAGCCAGAGGCAAGCAAGGTGAAAGCAAACAAAGTGTTGCTAATGTTTATATGTGCATGACATGACAACAAAATCTTATGTGTTTGCTCAAACATCACATGACAGAAAACAGGACAAAGAATAAAATGGGCGAACAATACTAGTTTAAAACAGCCTTCAGTATAATTACGTTGTTTTCCTTTTCTACTTAAAATCTATAGAAAAAACATGCTTAATGAAATTTAAACCTTATGTTCATCCCTGTCTAGTTCAGGTATTATCTTCTGGGAAGATGACTTACCTGTATCATTTGTACTGCAGAAGATTCCAATGCATATCCTAGCATACACATCCATGAATCCCTGTTCAAACTTTTGTGCCCCACTGCAGCTCAACAGGAACTGAGCAAGCATCAGGTGCTCTAGTGTATGCACAATGCGGGAGAGAGATAAGTATAGGAGGAGTGAGTTTGTTGTGCTTAGGTCCCACTGAAATCACTGATTACACTTCATCAAAAAAGCAAGCAGGAAAGCGTTGTTACTGTCAGCAAGTAGTGGAGAGGTAAAGATGGAAACGTTGAAAGGAGGATAATCTAAGCATAAGCATACTATATTGTTGAGAAGACTTGGTGAGAGCCATATTGTACTACCACACTTAAAACTTAGGCCATACATTACAATGT